GTAGGTGGCAGCGGGCGTTAGCGGGGACGGGACCGAAATGGGGCAGGGGTGCGGGGGTGGGGACGGGGGCAGGGGCAGGAGCAGGTAGATGCGCTCAAATTTTACGTAGCAGAGGTTTCTGGTGTAGTTGTGAGCATACATCGCGGGAGAGGGCGAGTGTTTGGTATAGCAGCGTTTTAACGTGAAAGAGCGCAGCGGTTGCTTGATGACGGCCCCATCGGGTAGAAGCCGGCGTGGAGGGGGGCGGGTGTTTGGTATAGCAGCGTTTTAACGTGGAAGAGAGCAGCGGCTGCTTGATGACGGTCCCATCAGGTAGCAGCCGGCGTAGAGGGAGCCGAGATTCGCCCGGCGTGTTCAGTGAATCGGCGATGCGAAAGCGAGGTCAACGGTTGCGGTCGAGTCGGCTTGCCTTTGAGATACGGGACGTGACGGTCGTGTGATTAAAAAGGTGGTCATGTGCGGTCTGTAGTCGCGATGAACGATATCAAGCTAGCTCCGGGTTTGGCGCCCGCGATTATTTAAGTAATGACATTGCGTCGGCTATTCACTGCATGCTGCAATTAACTGATGTGTTTAGATTTATAGATGTGTGTATATATATGTTTATATATTTATACACTGTACATGTCTGAATTATCTATAGCGGCGTTTGGCATCGACCTCGCGCACCAGCCTTTCACGTGGTTTCAAAGTGCTTGAACGAACCAGCGTTGTATCGCAACTGAGTCCATCGCCCGCTGGTAGAGCTACCAACTACACATACAGTTTATTCGTTTCTTTCTTTATTTCGCTTCCATGCATTTTGTGTAATGTAAAAGCGTGCCGTTCTTCAATGCTCCCCGAGTTTACATTTGTTCTTCAGAGAATGTTACTTGTGTTATCGATCAAAACTCGACGCGTGAGAGTTGTTCCCGGCTCGGCTGTTGGAACAAATGCTGTTATTTGGGTGCAATGTTCACGGCACGTCGATTGTGATAGGGATTTAAATGCTTATACAAGGGGGCGCAATGGCCGATTGGCTAGCGCGTCGGACTCTCGAGCGGGAGCCCGGGTTCGAATTCCGGTGGTACCAAGGCCCCTTTGCGCAAATCTGACTCTATGCCGTTGCGGGCGCTCCGTAATAGGGGACGTGATGACTTGCGTTGCGTTCCCTTAAAAACTGTGTTAACGATCACCCTTGACTCGTGCTTATCAGGTTGTCTTAACAACCCTGGATGTCCCCGTAATACGGTGGAATGTGCAAGGCGACGTAAGGGAGCGATGGGATGTGACATAACGCCACGTTAAGTCACGTTAAACGAACTGTGGCATGCGAGTTTATGGGTATGCAGCTTTGTCTAGGAACAGCGAGCCCTTGGAAAAGTGAGCCCTGCGCGTGCTTGACTCATCTGAATTCCACATATTTGCCCCTTCTTCTCCGCATACTGCGCTCAGTCGCGTAACCACGCTGTTTCTCGCTCTCGTCCTTTGCACTCTTTGTACTTGGAATCTTTCGCACTCTTTATACTCGGACTCTTCTTCGTACTCTGCTCCTTGTACTCGGACTCTTCTTCGCACTCTTTGTACTCGGACCCTTATTCGTACTCTTTGCTCTTTCTACTCGGACTCTTCTTCGCACTCTGCACTCGAACTCTTCCTCGTACTCTGTACTCGGGACTCTTCTTCACACTCTTTGTTCTCGGATTCTTCACAGCACTCCTCGTACTCGGGCTCTTCGCACTCCTTGTACTCGTTCCCGCACTGGCACGACCTCTGCCACCGACGCCGCATGCTCAGATCTCGGGGAATGACAGCCATCTGTATGCCGCCCACACCGGATACAGCCGCTGAATGTATTCGATACTTGCGGCGATCCCGCCGGGCTCCGGTCTGAACGGCAGTAATATCGTCCGCCGGGACACATTCATGGCCACGGCAATATCCGACTCCGCTTGTTACAGCCGTCAGCTGACGCAATCGCCGTCTGCGTCGGGCGCAGAAGCTTTTAAAGTCACGTGGTATTGTCGTTTTTGTGCTGAATAGAAGCTGATACGCCCTTTTGCGTGAGAGCCTGTTACTGCGTCACATGCAAACATCGACGAGCGATGTTTGCATGTGACGTGCGTTGTACTTCGGCAAGGATAGGCTTTGATAGGAAATATGTGGGTCGTCCAGGATCTTATGTGTACGTTCGCCTGAACCGTCAGTCACGTGATCGCCAAACTTACGCCCCACCCCCCACCCCCTCCCCGTCCGTGAGGCTGTCTGTTAGTATGTTGGTCCGTATGTTTCTCCACCCGGTTCCCATTTGAAGACGGGTGTAACCAAAGTACTCCGTCCTGATTACAGTATCCTGCTCAAAAAGCAGCGTGTGGTTAATACATCCATTCCCGGCCATTCGTGGAAACTTTCAGAGAAAAACAATTTCTATATTCGCTCACCATCCCGGGCGCAATTACAGGCTTGCTGTGCCACATGTGATAAGAACGTCCCCGTATGAGGACTTGGCACGGTATTGAAATACGTGGTATACTAGTTATAACGCCGGATGTTTCCCGATGGGTTCAACTTCTTGGAGCGCTTCGCTTGGTTGAATCAAGCGAGGCGCTCTCTCACACAAACGCACTCACACTTGATTACGGGCGAGGTTACGGACAGAGCGGTTATCCTTGAATGATACATTGTAGAAGATCGCATGACCACGGATTTTTTAGGAAAACGTCGCAGCAAAGCATCGTAAAGAAGCTCACATGGAGGAAGCGGAGCATTTGAACAGATTGTGCCTGAATGATCGTAAGGAAAGGTTGCAAGCAAGGATTTCACGGCCCGAAGATCTTCAGACAAAATATGATCATCGAGAAGTATTGTGTTTCCAAACATTGTTGTACTAGACCGTATGCGTGACATCTTAACATGCGCTCGGGTGGGGGGAAGCAATTTAACCCCCTCCCCGAACCTCCTTCCAGATTTTTTCGAACGGTGCGGTGTAACCGCGCCGAATTTTGCATAGCTGTGGACAAAAAATATCAAATTCTTTGGTGTCGACAAATTATATGTACTTTGTAAGGTCGCTGACCTGTGGCAGGTCAAAGCAAAGCCCTGGATTCAGCCAAGATACTTTCTAGGGAACCGTTCAATCTGAAGCAACAACGGACTGTTAGACGAAGCCATACATCTCTGAGATAGCTTCCCAGGCAACACAACAACTGAATGAACAAATTCCATTGACCTGGGTTCACGTATGAAGATCATACCGAGGTCAAAGAACAAGCCGTTTGACAGCTGTAAAGCTTGCTGTATGGAATAGTTTCTGGGACTCATTTCGAGTTCATTGATAACGGAAACCGCATCGCATATCTTTCATGGACTTCTTAATGGTCAAAGTAGGTAACTGACCTAAGATGACCTTGCTCAACACTTTGTTTTTAGAAACATACTGCCTTGCGTGATCTTTGTCACTTATTCAAATACAAAACTTAAAGCATTCTCGTATGATTTTGGTCACCATGACATTTGAAGGGTCAAACGAGGTCATTAACTTTGAATGAGCACCAGCGAGATTTTCCTTAGAACAGGTATTTGGGTTGTGGGGGCACTTTGAACACCAATTTGGAGTTTTACCTTGTTTGACCTTATTTGGCCCCAAGATCATGGCGTAGGAACCCCACATCTTGACACAAATGAGAACACATACAAATTCACACCCTGTGAATTTGGTGTCTCTCGCTTGCTTAGTTTTTAGAGACATCGGAGGTCAAAATGCGCCCCATCCGATCGAAGGGCATTCAGCCAGTCACCCGGGCGCGTGTGAAAGAGAAGAATCATGTGCGATAAAGCAAGTCAAGAGAGCATCGCCAGGGCTACAGATCGTGTTGCGAACGATCGTAACCAAAGAGTTCTGTGCGTGCACACAAGTATCTTAGGAAAGCTTTCTTTACATGTAAAAGTACGCTTCTTAGTGAATGCCTCAAGTTAAACATCGTCTGGGATGAAGATCGTTTGCCATATTGATATATTGATGTCTTGATGCCTTGCCCTTGGTGTTAATGTCTTAGTGGAAGATGGTAACGCGACATGCGTTAGAGTCTTAGAGAAGTGGAGATGAGAGGCGTACCTGCACCGAGCGGCATGCGTTAGAGTCATAGAGAAGCGGAGATGAGAGCTGTACCGTGCACCGAGCAGCATCAGATTGTCTGCCACACTTCAGAAGGGACAGCGGCAGAGCCGGACGTTCTCGCATATTCAGTGTATATGCTCCAGACGTCCCGCCTCCCTTGCCAGCTTTGCACCTTTGGGGGCAATGTCTGAGCGAGCACATCCTGGCGCTTGATCGTCGGAATTCCGCACAACATGACTTGGGCCCCGGCCGCCACCAGACTGCATTTGAAGGCATCGTCCGGTAAATTCGATTTTAGTCGCTTGACGAAGTTGCCGTTCGCCGCTTCTGCGCAAGCTGCAACTTGTGCTTTCTTGCAGCCTCACATAAGAAAGGAAGTCGTCCAAACGGTCTCTTTCCCGCGCCATCTTTGTTCTGTATAAACTGCATGATCTTTTGACACACGACATTTGCCGTGTGCGATCTTTTTGGCATAGCATTTATATCCTGCGATCTCTTCTATTCGGACATGTGTAATGAATCACGATTCCCCCGGAAGGCTTTCTCATGCGATCTCTTCCCATGCTATCATCACCCGATACCATATTTTGAAAGTGCAATTGGCATCCGAGCAATCTTCGTGCCGCATGACCTTTGTCAGCTAATGATTGCCATGCAATTTTTTACCTTCGTGAACGCTGCGATGGTCCGTAAACCAAGTGGTCCGGGTCGGCCATGAACCTCTCTAGAATCGATAGCTTTGCGCCTATCGATCGCAGTTTCAAGGAGTTCCAGCAGAAAAGTACGTTTTGTGGGCGTACTGGATAATTTACAGGCGTCTCCAGCCAAGCGATATTTTTTTCTGTTATAATGAAATTTGAATATGAGATGAAAGTAGATCGACCCGGGATGCACAAAGTTTCCA